AAAGTCCAACTGAGGAGGTCCAAGGGGAGGATGGTAGCTAATGCCATTGACAGGACCCTCACCTAGAAGGGCAAGGTTCACGTCCCATATGGTATCATTATTCCTACACTTCAGTTTAATTTTCACTCACTGTTTGTCACGGTTTAGGAAAATATCACACTTCGGTTGACACTTTCACAATGATCACTTCTAGTTTCAAGCTATACGCTAAGTTTAGGAACCAGTATTGCTTAGTTTTGGGGAAATAGCAATGGTTTGGGTTTAGAATACAACCCTTTCCACAACATGCTTGCATCTCCTCCAGTGTCTGGGTTACCAGTGTGAGTCGTGTCCCATTCAATGTATCATTAATTGACTGAAAAGGAATGACAGTAATGCAACAAAATAAATGGCAAAGATATAGTCATCTTGACACATCACAAACAAACATAATAGAAAAAAAGAAAATACGATTCCCTCAGAGAACGTGTAGCATGCAGTCCATCCAATCCATTAAACCAGGCAATGTTAAGTTACTCTAACAGTTTTTGTAACTTATGTGCACGTCAAAGGGGGAATGAGGTTTGGCCTTTAACTAATTATGCATTTGATTAATAAGAAGGAACATCCCTCCATCACAAACAGACTGTGACTATCCTATTGCTGCACACTTTAATGATACAAAGTATAACATCTCTTCCTTATGAGATTAGAAGCTGCTGGGATATCTGTATTGCAAATTTCACCTCCTATAGTTCTGCATGGTAAGTTACTACATAATAGGATGCTGTAATTTTATATTTTGATTGGGATCAAGCAGGATATCTGCCTATGTGCTGGTCACCAAAGATTATCCTTGAATGAATGATTTTCTTTCACAAAACATGTTCTGATGTCGTTTTTGAAACATTTTTGCATATTATCCTTGTCATCTATACGGTAAATGGACTACACTTATATAGCGCTTTTCTACCTTAGCCTGCACTCAAAGCACTTTACAATGTTTCTCATTCACCCATTCACACACACCAATGACAACAGAGCTGTCATGCAAGGTGCTAACTGTCATTGGGAGCAACTTCGGGTTTAGTGTCTTGCCCAAGGACACTTCAACTGTGGAGAGGGCTGGGATCGAACCCCCAACCTTGTGATCAGAGGACAACTGCTCTACCACCTGAGCCACAACCGCCCATATCTTTGCATATTACAGCGCAATTCTCTCTATGTTTATTGACAGCCTTTCTAGATCTTTCTTCTCTTTTGGCGTACTGTGTGACTGAATGTGGCTAACTGTGGCTGGGATTCTGTGAAATTCTGTCCATTTAACTGTATGTTTTCCTATTTTGTATTACTACAAGTTATTGAACATGGTGATATTGTAATATGGTATCCTTCTGCCTATTTGAAGGGACATTGATGGGGTAGTTAAAACAGACAAACAACGTAACAACAACAAAGCCTGTTTTTGTTGTTACTGCCATTATGGAAGAGGTGTTTTTAATGAATGAACTTTAACTTTATTCATTTTTAGTATGTAATTTGATGTAGTTGCTATTTTTTAAAGATTGACTCTTAATTTCGTGATGGTGGGATGTGCCTTCTTACTGACCAAATGTATGCATCCTGTGGGACTGATCATGTGAGTTCTCATAGTCCCTGATTGGCTTTATCTGAGGAGGTGTTGGCCATATCCGTCTGGTGTGTTTGTCCCATCCGTGTTGTATTTCTAATAAAGTTCAGTGCTCTCTTCTTTTACGTATGGATATTTCCTCCTACGCACCTGTCTACAAGAAATTATAGGTGTGCATGAATCTTTATAGTCTACTTTTCATTAACATGAGAATACATTATTAGTACATCACAAATAGCCCTTTAATGCATCAGAGCAATATGAGCTGTCCCCTCTGTATAGCCCACTATCATACTCTAAACATAAATAGGTTATGTAATAAAGTAATTTAAGTGTCAGTGTGTGTTCTCTGTGCCTCTGCAGATCGTCAGTGTGATGCTTCCGTGTCCAATATGAAACCGATGGAGGATGTAGAGGCGTACACTTACATATTATTAATAAAGAAGTTTTATCAGACAGATTCCCTGTCTCCCCATCTGTATGACAAAGTGAACCACAAGGACTTAAACAGAGAAAGACAGCAAGAGGTAAAACAATAAAAAAACAATCTGATATTTTATGTGTTTAAATCCTGGCACAGGAAATCACTTTAAGTCCTTTGTGGTTTCTAACTTCATGATAAACCAGAAAGTCACGGTAGGTTATTTCCACTGATTTGAATGATTTACACCTATTTGTCTGATTAGTGATCTAATGTTACACTGTAATTACACTGCTGCTCTTAATTAGAGCAAACAAACCCTATTCATGCTTCTGTAGCTAAGATTTCTAAAACCTACAGAATTCCACATTTACATACAATAATAAGAGGCCAAGAATGTATTTGTATAAGCATACTCTAACCAATTTATCAAAGCCTAATTATATGTTGTGTGGGTTCTTTAAAGAAAGCAGATCACACCTTCATCATTAGCATACACAGACCTCACATTGGTATTCTCATCTCACTCTTGGCAAGAAAGTGAATAACACTACTTCATGGCTAACTGTTTCCTCTTTTTCCAGTCTTTATGCTAAGTTAAGATTCATAAATTAGGCTACATCATATCATTTTGACTCAGTCTTTGGATATGTATTCTTATATTGTATGACCTGTATGCTAAATACATGCTGCACAATTATTATTTACATTTTATTCATTTTAACCTAACAAATTACCTCTGGCTGCATATCATGAGATGGTTAATGCACACACACTGCACGCTCCAAATATGTGACATTCTTGACAGCAAGCCAAGCTTTTTAATGTCACTGTTGTAAATAGTGAGCCCAGAGCCTGTTTAAACCACTGCTATCGTAATGAGAGTAAGAGTTAACCATATGTTGTCATAGCGAGCCACAACGAAGAAGGTACACCCTGAGAAGTCTCACTATGAGAAGGTGATTGAACAGAAGGCCAAAATGCTGGCTGATCTGGAGCTCTGCAATGCTGGACTCATGGGCAGTGAGAAACCTGCAGCTACACGGTGCTGTCATTGAAGCTCTGTTCTGCAGCGCTGCAAAC